GGCTTTTCATATTTGAACATGGAAAGGACAGAACAGAGCCATGATAGTATAATAAGCCTATTTTTAAACTAAAGTGGTCCTATTAGAGAAAGTGCATTATAAATAAATTCATTCATTTATCCATTCATTTAATTTTAGCATGGGTGTTATGCTTGTTTTCCATTTTCCATCCTTTGTCATGTTTTATTTGTTTATTTTGTAAGCACAGTCACATTAAAGGTTTTTGGTCATATATTTTTAAATGAAAATAAATAAATAAATTAGCCGTGTCCAGTTTTTAGTCACCAAAATTCTAAATTAGGCATTGTACTACTCTGTTTTTGAAGACCAGAATAAATGTGACACCTGATAAAAAAGAAAAACAAAGTTTTACAAATATATTTCAGATTGCCTTAATGTAAAATCCAAGCTATTATATTTCAATTACTGAAGTACACAGTGCTTTTTCTCACCAGCAGGTGGCAGAATAAACTGTCAAGCAGTTAAAATGACAAGGAAATTAAGGGGCATCTGCTTATTCATGAAGTGCTCCCAGCTTTTAAGCCTGAAGAAATATCATGATGTTTTTTTTGTTATTCTAAAACACTAATGCCACTGCAGACTGGATAGTCTTTCTTTTTCTTTTAGTCATATTCTCATGCATTAAAACCTTTTTCACAAACTCTTTCAGTGTTCATATGGGCATCTGACTATTGTTTCAAGGCAAACCTGGCAAACTGCAAAACTGATCCTTCGAGTGCTGTTTACTGCCAGCTTTACATATCAATCATGGCCATGTACACCTGAAATCAGTCACGGTGAGACTATATTACTGGGAAGGCTGAACTGCTTTCTGCACATAAATTATTACTGAATTTTGTTTATACTGCATAAAAGTGTAATAATAACAGAAAATGTCAGTAGTTCATGCTGAAGCAATAAACAATCTAAAAACCTTTGTGGTAGCAGGAAGCACAGAAACTGACAAACACACGCGCCAGTAGTAATAAAAGTCTGCATCAAAGAAAACAGGGGTTACCATGCTATTAAGCAATGCTCGACGCTGTGAAGTGCACCTACAGTTACATTTACATCTGTGGAAAACTGTGGTGTTGCCAGGCATTACAATGGGCCAGACAGATCTATGGCCTGATGCCCAGAACTCTGCTACTCAGAGTCCCAAGGCTCAAACTGCAACTCCCAGTCTAGCTGCTAATGTAACCTCTCCATCCCCTCTTCCCACAGTACACATGACTGAAGGTGTGTGTGAGTGAGTGAGAGGCGAAGGTACAGAAAAACTGCAACACAATCAGTCGCTGTTCTAACGTTTCATAGCCGTGGCATCTCATTAATTGACTGTTGATGTTTTGGTTATGTAACGAGCCGCACATTCCTGATCCATCTGTGACTACAGTAAGGTGCAGTCACAGATGGATACTTTCATCTGCTGGTAGCACAACGTTGCCCAACCACCATGTGTGTTTACAGTGTGAGTAATTGGATTTAAGGTTTTTGCTGTCTTAAATGTGTAATTTTCACCCTTCTCTGCTTTGACAATATGTGTAAAAACATGTCTAAAGATAATAAAGACGATCACTGATTAAATAAACTGGGACAACTAACAATGATGAGCAGTGACAATTTATGTGAAACGGTACGTTTTGACTCATGAGGTTATGCGACCTGTTTCAGGTTTTCATCTGTCAGGCTCTCTCTCTCTCCTAGAACCATGAAATGCTATGAATTTTTTCAAGAAGCTTAAAATGCTCTGTTTGTTGTGCTATGCTGAGTTGCAGCTCTCTCTGTGCTTTCATTAGAAGACTTGCTGGCCTCTCCTTTAGCCTGCACTGAATCACAACTCTGGCAGGGCACAGATAGTTGCAAATGTGAGCAGGAATACCAAATATCACATACCAGCACCCGTCATCTGCTAAGTAAGGGTTTCATTCAACTGCAAGCAACACCGGACCCAGTAATTACCAGTCTTATTCTAAAGGTATGCAATTCATTATGATTTACTTCGTATTTGGCTTTTAAGCCCAGGTGTGATTCTACTTTTGCTCAGACTGAATCACTCTCTGAATCCCAAAGTCTGTCACTGGGGTGCAAAAGCAGAGCTAATCAAATCCTGGTGCCCACCCAATTGAGATGGATCACAGTTAGGGGAGAACAGAATAATTCATGGACCCCCCCAAGCTCAAGTGACTGGCCAAGGTGAAAATCAGTAGACTTTTATTGCAACCATGATTATTTATTAATGCCGCCTTGGCCTTCATCAATTCAATAATTAAGACTATGCAGCACTATAGTTAGTTTTACATTTTACACTTCAAAATTTATAAAACTTCTGCGAACACTGTTATGCCTTCCAGACTTAATGTGTCATTGTGTTAGACACTATTTTTCAAAGTGAGAATGCGCTTATTTGGGAAAGAAAATGTATTTAGTCTATAACTGTTGTAGTCAAGAGGTGAGAAAGATCTACAGCTGGAGCTCAAATGTAAAAGCTTACATAAAGAAAAGAATCCCTGTGCATTTCTTCCAACCACTATTTTATAACTGTCTTATAACTCTGGGTTCTCTGTGTTCCTGTCAGAGTCTAAAGACATGCAAGTTAGGTTAGCTGTTGATTCTAAACTGACTGTAGGTGTGAATGTGAGCGTGAATGGTTGCCTGTCTCTCTGTGTTAGGTCTGTGATACAGCAGTGACCTATGCAGGGTGTGCGCTTCCTCTCGCCCTATGACAGCAGAGACTGGCTCAAGGCCCCTCGTGACCCTAAATTGGATAAGTGGTAAAAAAAAAAAAGGATGGATGGAGGGTGAAGCATCCATATAACCACCAATAACGACTTTAGGTAAGTTTGATGCCATTCTCTAATAAACCACACCTAAGAAGGAGCTTATAGCGTGCAGTTGATGGGCCCTTTCATAGACTAATTATTTGATTCAGTCAGTAATAAAAAAACAACAAAATAAAAATAAAACGTTGGATTTCCAGGCTGTGCAGAATCTTCCACTAGTCTGCTGCTTTTTTTGTTCAGCTTGCTCTTCAAAATATTATGAAGAACTCTCAAATGCTTCTTGAACAGGGCTGCATGACATCTGAACTAAAATCCATTTATAGATTTTCTAACTTCAATGGTTATGACTGCTTTCTTGGTTTTAGTGTCCTTAACAGCCTACTCATTTATCGAGATGCTTAGGCCAAGGACGAATGAAAGTCAAAAGCTTCATTGCTCTTAAATTATTAAAATTGTAAAAAAACAAACAAAAACAAAACACATTTACTTGATGATCTATTTTGGTCAATAAAAGATTTACTAAGTGCAAAAATCCTGACAGGTGCTTTGATTGTTTCTACTCAGATCCTCTCATGCAAAGAGTTTGTATAGGTGTACGAATGCTGCTAATCTTTATTTTGAAAGAAAAAAAAAAGTTAAGGAGGAGGAGGAGGAGGAGGCGATTCTCCATCAATTATTCAGTTGTTTGGTAAAATATTAGAAGGTTGTGATCAATGCTGGTTGTATTTTTACAGACCCTCAGGCAATGTCTTCCCATTACTCACTTCCCAAAACTAATAGAGCAACACTTGAAAACTCGCAATGATATAAAAAATAATAAAGCAGATTAAAGTCTTCAGAAGTGAAAAGTTTTACTTAAAGCCCAAATTCATTGTCTACCTTTGACAACAGCTGTTTGACACTTCATGTGAAGATGACACTTTGTAAAAGGTGAAATGCTGACTGTTGTTTCATCATATAAAGTTAAAAAATTATAAATACAGTTAAAGAACAAGAAATGAGAAAGGTTTCACTGTAATTTACGGCTTTAATAATGGCCCACAGCTTCCCTTCTGTCACTTGTCTTCAGTTATGTTATTAAATTATTAAGCTAAAGGGTTCTTAGACTAATATATCAAGCCTGCATTTGTGAATATTAACAAGTAGTTCACAAATGGATTTTAGGGCTAATGACTGAAAAGTCCATTAAATGAATGGAAACAATCAGCCACCCAGTACACTGCTGTGAATGTTAGTAGGTCATTTAGTAGTCAAAATAAACTATCAATTATTAATAAATTCTTGAATAACCCTCCTCATAGGCTCGCACTTATTATTAGCCTTTCTGTGCATTTCAGTATAGACTAAAAAATTCAGACCAGCTGACCATTTCAAGTTTTGAAACAGGATTTTCCTCATTGATTCATTATTGAATATTAAGCTTAACGTACACGTGGATATTTACTCGTGCAAAGCGGGCAATTCATGTTTTTAAGCTCACGACCCCTAAAAAGGATACTCTGACAGGCACAACAAACCGAACCAAAATGAAAGTCCAGTTTGTGACTGAAGCAGCTCGATCGGCTCTGTTCTTTCACTTATGAGAGAGAGAGAACGGTGCAGCTGATTAGACTGATGAATCAATAACTGCACGGTAATGACAAAACTTATAAAGAAAAGCGATTCCAACAAGCAAAATGATCCTTCCCAGGGGAGGGTCCGAGGTAATCGCTGAACATAAAAGTCCAGAACATGGCGTGTGTGCACAAGATTGCGTGCTTGTGCGTGTGGTGGGATTGCAGCATAAAAAAAATGGAGACTGTGATTAAGAACTTCCTCAAGTGCTCAAAAAGACAAACGAACAGCGCCAAGGAGCGACGGCAGTGGAGCTTAATATGCGCTAGTCGGCGCCTTAAGAATGAAATTTAATGCCTGCGTGTTGCATGTGAATTCAGGCAACAGTCCACTCAGAGGAAGACGGAGAGACTTAAACCTGGAAGGGAGCCCACCCTGCACGGGTTTGCTTAACGTGGTGTATCCACGAGCAACAATCATGTCCACAGAGAGTCTGAAATGGCGATAACGCACACAAATATGCTTCCACAGCTGCAAGCATCGCGCATATTTTTGTTGTATGGTGTGTATGCGTGTGTGTGTGTGTGAGGATGAGATGCGTCACTGCCTTACAGTAAATAATCTCACCCTAGCAGACGCCAGCAGCAGGGAGAGCCAGCGGGGCTTCCAGTGAGGAAAGTGTGATGCAAATACACGAGAGCGCAGTTACAGTTTTACGCCTAAATCTTTGCAACACGAGACTGACAGCAGGGATGGAGACAGATCTTTTTAAATCACCTGCTCATGCATCATCCAGGTGCATTTGAGAAACGGCACAACTCTTGACATAAGTTGTCAGCTGCTTAAATCGAGCGCACAAGGACTTTTCAACCTGAAATCCTCCTCCTCTTTTCTCTGCTCAAATTAAGTGTCCACCTCGGGGGTTTGACTTATTGATCCGTTTTTCTTTAAATGCAGCTGATTTCAGTTCAATTGATCAAGCAACGGTTTCACTCACTCACTCAGTCCCTGTCCCTCCCCCACCACCTCTTTCCCCCTGTCCTTTTTGCGTTGCCAATAGTGTCAGTGCTTGACAACGTTTTGTTGAAGCGCTTAAAAAAAGATAGAGGAGAGATAATTTCAGTCGTGCGCGGTGGGAGGGAAGATTTGTGCAGTCAAACAGAAGAATCAGTAGACGAAGAGGAGGGGAAAAAAAGTAGGAAATCTCTGCAACCGCTGGAGTCTCATTCAGCACCGCTCGCTCCTGGACAGCGTCTGAGCGGCGGAGTTGATCGAGAAACAGGGGATTTGTTCAAACATCCAATCTGGGAGTAACACTGAATTTAAACGGGGCGCTTAATTTTCTTCACGACTTACAATCCACATTGGTATGTTCACTTCCCACACCTGGCATGCTCTTCTTTGAATTGAATCTGTGCGGCAAGCAGCGTTTCAACAGCGAGGGAGTCCAGAACTGACTGGAGCTGGTGCCGCCAAACAAAGACGCTGGAAGAAAAAAGAAACCTGGACGGCATCGCAGCTCGCAGAAGTTCTTCTCCTCCACTTTGGGCTCACTTGTATCAGGAAGATTTAAAGGTAACCGGTATTCTTTTCTTTTACACTCTTATACTGGCGTCAGCGAGCTTTAGGAGTGGTATGACAGCCAAGCATCCCAGAGTTACGCAGCTGTGTTGTGATTTCTGCCTGTGAGAGTATGCTGCACAAACAGTCTAACCTATTAAGCTACTTAATTGGCATCTTGGTGTGCTTTGGAAGCAGTAGTCCATTATATCAAGAACACACACCAACAATTAAGGGAGTCGTATCTTGTTTCATTGCCTTTTGACTAAACCCAATATCAAATAGTGACTTTACAAATCTCCTGGTGTGTATGCGTGCATTGCAAGATTTAGTCCTGTTTTGGGGAGGCCGTGGTCTTTGTCCGGTCACACACTCAACAGATGAATCACATTTGCTGAAAGGCTTTTGGAGGAAGAACGAAGCTGGTGGTAATCGTGGAGCTGATTGGAGGGGGGGCTTGGCAGTACAATGAAGCCCTTCATCAGCTGTATCTATAGGAGCTCCCGCTGCAAACCCCTCTCTCTTTTCCGCTCCACTTGGCTAGATCCTTGCAGAAGCAAATCGGGGAAGTCTATAGGAGTAATCAGTGAACACACACGGTAATCCTAAAGTAATGCATTCATTTCAGATAGATATGAAGATGCTGCTAATGACGAATATGCCAGCTTTTACATGGTTGTCTGGAAGAATAGGTGCCAATCCATCTTTGCATTTAATTATTTTCAAGTGAGACTTGACGCTCTGGTGGGTGATGGTGACGCCTCTCTGATAGGCTAATGCACCTCTGTTGGAGAATGCATTGATTAGAGCTCACGTTTCTGCTAGGTTACACATGATGGTTGTTTCATTATGTCAAAACAAAGTATACACTGATTTCTTAAAGATTTTCTTAAATTTAAGTGATAAGAAGTGCAATTTCCCTCTAGATTTATAAAGAAATAAGAAGAAAATCTGCTTAAACACTGTTCTGATATGAAGGGTATTATTTTATCCTTTTTTTGGTTCCACACAGAGGTTTTAATGGATATGCTCTGTTTCCACTTTCTTTTTAATTTTTATGACAGTCTGGCTTTTGCAGGTTTGTTAGGTTCCACTCTAAATCTCTCCAGAGCCTAACCTCCTCATCTACTTCAAATGCCTCACTGGATTTCAATTAGTGAGAATGATTTAATTTGAGCTGATACTCTTCAAAACTCACACAAAATGTGAAAGGCATGTGGTAGCAAATGACAACAATAAAAATGACTTGGTATTTGCACACGGTGGGTCTTTAAAGACCAATTAGATGCTCCTTAAGCACTTCTTGAATCGGCTGGAAACATGCAGACATGTTCCACCGAGCCAATAAAATTGAAACTGAAGCATTTAATGTATTTTTTTTTTAAATATTTTTTTAAAGGCATATGGGTCTTTTGAAATCCCTAAACAACCACTTTTAAATACCCATCAGAACCATTAACAGCAACCACTCTTTCCCTTTTTTAAAATTTAATTTTAGATTTATTATAGTATAAACAAAAACAGAAATGGTGAATTTTTGGGAAAGATCAAGTCTTACCGACAAACGCACCAGAGTATTTGCCCAACAGGAGTTTTTAATGTGCTAATCTTAAATCCCAACAAGTCCCACTAAGATCCACAAGTGGGGACAAAGATTTTTGACCTCCCCTTTTTGTTTTCATGTGTTTGTGGCCTTAATCAGAACATAAAGTATTAAAGAGTCATCCTGGCTTTCTGAATGTTTGACCGGTATTATCAACTGTGTTGCAGTTACCATTTGGCTTTGCTATTTTTAAAGACAATAATATCAAATTGTCTTTATCATAACAAAGATAATAGGATTTAAATAAAGTGCACTTCTTCAAACACGTCTCATAATTTTCCCAAAGACCCGAGCCCAGAATGTGTAAAGATGACATTTACTGACCCTGAACTGAACCCTGTGAAGCTGTGCAGCACCCCTAATAAGACCTACTGATTAAAGGTTTACATTAGTTCAGAATTCACTGTTCAAGTTAGGGGTTACCAATCAGATGTGAAATTTTAATGCAAACGAAGACGTGCCGTGCCAGAAGCCAACCCCAGCGAAAGAACAATTCCTTCACACATTTGGCAGTTTAAAAAAGCTTGCTTTCCAAAGAAAAAAAAATCTAAAAACATCTATATTTTTTACACTTCACTTTCAGAGTATACATGTTTAATGGTGCGAGACAACATCCAGTATTTCCACTCATTAACACACAGAAACTCCTCTAATTTAGATCGAAATCCCAGAGAAACTTGACTAAAAAGCTCACTGCTTATATAAAACCTGTTAGTTTTAAACTTTACATCCAAATGGGCTTTCTTGTACTTTAAGTGTTTCAGATCGGATAATGTTGCCTTTATACCCAGAAAATCATCCAGGACATGTTTACTGTCATTTCCCTCATCTTATGTAATTAATTTTTCATGCTGCTAGGAGTTAGCATGACATTAGAGGAACGGGGCAGAGAAAATCATTTTCCTCACTGGCTTCTCTTCCTTTTTAACACTGTGCTGAAAGCAAGAGCATACGTCAGCGCTGAAATTCACATCCAGCAGTGCATAGAGACCGACAGACAAGATGAGGCAGGCAGACAACGCTTCTCTCTGCCTGTTGGAAGACTTTTAGATATCCATTTCACTGTTGTTCCTTATCACTGCTTCTTGATCACGGAGTGTCTACATTCTGGATCACCTCCTCTGCTTTTCCTCCTGGCTGTCCATCTGTTCATCGGGGGGCCGTCTGTGTGGCCTCGCTGTGCTGACCACAGTCTGATGATCTCTAAAACAACAGCAGAGCCATTCCTCACACATTCCTATTTTCTAAACTGCTGCTTCTTCTTCTCTACGATCCTTTAACAAGCTTTCTGGTTTTCGTCTCATTTCTTCCACGTGTGTCTTTGTCTGGTAAAAAATAGTTTTGTCGCAAGCTTTGCGTACTTTTCTTGATGATATTTTATAGTCCAGGCGCTCTTGTGTAAAACTACCATGCTATAAGTAAACTGTCTTATCAAAGAATGTGTGTGTAAGAGCTATAACCCGCCTACAGTTGGAACATCTTCATTAGAAGCCTGTTGACACTAATCAGAGATGACAGCCACTGACACTCTGGTTAATTTACAAGATTTACAACACAAACAATAAAGGAAATAATCTTTCCATTCCAGCAAGCGTGTTGTTCATAATGGAGACGTATTTGACAAGGCGTCGAATTAATCTTTGTTCTTATCAAATGTTGTAATGCCACTTGCTGGCCTCAGCAAAACTGGCATCAAACTGCAGTTTAAACTGATGCTTAAATTTGTTCCCCTTGACAGGAGGAACTCATTCAAATAAGTCAAGAGCATAATGGATCCATATCACAACGCACTTGTTACGACTCAGACAACAGGGTTTCGATTTAGCCTTCAGAGTCATAAGATGAAGAATTGCTCATGATCCAACTTAACCCCTTAGCAGTCGGACGTACCGCCCACGGTACGTCCGACTGCTAACCCTCATAGGCAAAATTTGTAGGACTGCTAAGGGGTTAAACGTAGAGTCATCAAGGCCTTTAAAAAGAAAAAAAAAACTCAGTTAAGTTGATTAAAGTTGCAAGAAAACATTCACAAACTCTTTGGACTGATCATCAATTCAGCACTAATTATTCTGAAAATGTGTTGTGATCCTTATGTCACCATTATTGCTGAACAAAGCGTAAAAACACACAAACAGCGGTACCTTTCATGTCTTTGTGGAACACTGTGAATAACAATTAATAGTATAATACATGTGTTTTAATAACACTCTTTTAATAAATTGATAAGTAATTCTCAACAATGATGGCTGGTTTTGTTTTTTAGTTGAAAACTAACTGCTCACTTTGAATTTAATGAATGTTGGAACGGAGGTGTGTTTCCTCTGCGTGGTATCACCTTCTTTTCCAAGACTCTGTGGAGACCAATTATTGTAGTTCTGAAACCAAAAATGTTTTTTTTTTTGCTTAAAGTGGGATTTTAACTTCTCGAAACTTTTGGACTCCTCTCTCATATTTTTCTTTCTCCCTCCCTTGTATTCCTTTTTAGCCTATATTTTACGCAACTTCTATGAAACTAGGGCTGCAAATGGTTTCGTCACACTCATGTTTTCCAAGTAGGACATGGTGCTCTTCCTTGGGCATCGGTTATGATGTATAATTGACAGATTTGTTGATTAGTGTTGGATTAAAGTGTAATTTCACGGGGGAAGATTTGGCTGAGTTTTTCACAGCATATTCCAAACACCTAAATCCAAATCACAGAAATAAAGGACAGACAAAGATTAGGACACGCTCTAAACTGAAAGTAAAAAGAAGCTACTTTTGGCTGCTCACTTATTCAAGAGGGGTCATTACAGCAGGTAGCTGTGCATGTTTGATTTGGCAGAGTATTCTGCAGGATGCCCTTCCTGAGGTGTCTCCTCCTGGGATCGAACTGGGCATCTTTCACTTGTTAGGCAAACTGTAAGTGATAGCGTTAAATTAACCAAGCATCTAGAACATCTCATATTTAGCTGTTATGACTACAGATTTAGGTGGATGCTATAATTAATCAGGTTGTTGACACCGAAAAATAAATATGTCTATTTCCTCATTTTAGCCACACACACACAATCTACAGTTAGCGCTTATAACATGCAACTGTTCCGATGTGTCGTCAGGACATCATTTGTCCTGTCCTTACAATTCACTGTTTAGGAAATGGCCCTTCACTGTAAAGAAATAAATCTGTTTAAGTAACTGACACCAACTCACATGCACATGGAAATCATTCTGACAAAGATTTGCAGTCTCGCGTTTACATGCACTGACACACATAATTGGGACAGTGTGATGCGCACAAACGATGGGCAGATCCTGCATTTGTTTAACCTTAAAGGCTATCTTGTCTCGTCTTCATCATTTTATTTGTGTAGCTGCTGTTATTATTCATCCATACATTTTCTTAGCTGTTCCAGTCAGAGTCGTGGAAGGGCTGGAGTCAGTCCCATGACTTGCTGATATGGTGCACGAAGCAGGGTACAGTGTAGAAATGTAACATGCCTCACACAGGCAGGATTTCACACATACATAATGAACCACTCCTTGGCAAATATAAGTAGCTCTACTTTGTGACAAATAAACAATGAAGCACTAATCACCTACCTCTTCTGAGTGTATCCTATCTCGTGGTTAGACACCTGCTCCCCCATGTTGGAGAGAGTTATGTTCATGGTGATAATAATTATGTTCAGCAGCCCCAGTAAACTCGATGCAGCAGATGAGCTGCTTCTTCACTAGGTGCAGGTTCCGGCTAAAATGGTATTCCAGCTCACATCAGATCTTTAAAGCAGCAGACCTACTGTCACCAAGTGCCATCCAAGATGGTTCATTTGGAATTCTTCTGACCGAGGGGTGAGAGACTCTTTGGAGTGCCACAACGATCGAGCTTGTTGGAGGGTAAATATGAGAAAGAAAGCGTCAGCTTCATAGTGAGAGTGAGAGGATTGTCCACTAGTAAACCAATCACAAAAAAAAAGATTTATATTCATACTTAAGGGGGCATTAATATAACTGGGTGGTACCCCCAGTTAAAATCTTGTTTGGCTATGTAAGCCTAGCTATAAAGGTTTTGTGACTTATAAGACCCCGTCAGTAAGAAAACATGGATGTTTGCATTGATATTTACAAAATCTGTAATCTGTCCAACTACACAGGAGCTTATTGCTGTAGTTTGAATACCAAAACGTTGTCAGCTGGGTTTTTGGGGGTCGTGGAATGAGCACCAGTCATAAAAGTAGTAAAAGCTACACGTTTTAAAAGGAAAACGTATTTATGTGTTTGTACCCTTAACGTGTGAGCGGAGTGGAAGATAAACAGGTATACTCGAGCTTGCAGGCAGTGACCAATTTGCATATTTATAGATCTGTGCATACTAAAAGAGGGAAAGGCGTGGCATTACATCTAAGCCATTTGAAAGCATCAAGGGATAATTTTGATTGAAATAAAAAAACCTTCTAAATATGTATTTCTGATGAACAGAGATGAGTTTTCAGGGATTTAATCAGTACCAGGAGAAGAGATTTAGGACCTTAGCCATCTGGGTAATAAAACGCTTGTTTTTAGCTTTGGTAAGATTACATAAAAACCTATGTCAAATGTCAGTGCAAAAAGGAAAACAAACATAATCTAGGGTGCTTAAGTTCAGCGTTTTGTTGTCCTGTCTATCCGACTTCCTCCTCTGCAGCCTTTGTGGCTTTAGAGAAATAACCCAGTATTATCGTCCTTGCCTTAGACACGAGCAACAGGAAACTATGTCACTAGAATCTAAACAAATGTTATTTTGCTGAGTGAGTGCTACTGTTGTTTTTCTTGGAAGGACAGTGTCAGTAATCAGCTTGTTGTTTGGTGTGAGTAACATTGACAAACCATGTTTTTATTCATGCTCTCCCAGCAGTCAGCATGAACTAAACAAACTTTTAATTGGTTACCCGTTCAGCTGCGTGCGGTGAAGCTGCGCTGTTTTTCAATTTTCAATTTTAATTTCAATCACAGAGTCCATGGGAATTATTTCATCTTTTCTTTTAGCAGCCTTAGTCAGCACTTAACCTGTTGTTTGGTATGATGTCTTCAGGTCATTTGAATCTTCTTGACTTTATTTGCTTAGAGCAGAAATATCAGCTTTAATGGTATTTTGGTTAGGAGTTTTTGTAACACTGGACATGCCGCTTCCTTTTCCACAGTCCCTATTTAATTGTATTAATTCTAACATGCAAGCATAATAGAGGTAAGAGGCTAGTTCACAATCTGTAAAACTTTGACATGGGGGCCAGAGGTTGTGATGCTGCTTCGAGGGCAATTATAACAAGGCTTTTTTCCTTATATGGTTTCATAATCTTTGTTGCATTCACGACATTAACCCTCTGCTGTGCCCTGTTCTTATGCTCTTAAAAAGGCACACAAGGCTTGTGTTTAATAAGGAGGGCTGCTTCTGCATTTTTCATTGATATTCACAATGCGTGAGTTGAGGAATTTTCCCGCTTTCTTTGTTAGTCTGTCGAAGCCTGCCCACTACTCATGAATATGTATGAGCATATTTTAGACTAAAGACTTTTAGTCTACAAACTCCCCCATGAGCCTTAAAAACTAAATTCTTTTGCACAGTCAAATTGATCTTAAACCAAACAATAAAATTAATAAAGTCCAAACATAAATGTATTCAGTATAAATGTTCTAGATACAATAAGTCTACAGCAGATGATTGAAGAAATGAGTGGGAAAAATGATCCCCACTCTTTCCATAATACATGACTTCAGGGCCAGTTCCTTTTAGCTGCAACAGACCACTACAGATTAGTCCTTGTTCTGCACACCAGCGCCAGCTAGAAATCTCTTGCCAGCAGCAGTGGGAAGGCTCAGATGAGTTCCTAAATCCTGCAGTCAACAGCCACCCATCTCTATGTGAACTATTCCTGGCCTTGATTACAATTTGTGTGCCACAGTGACTGGCTCCAAAGAAAGAACCACAAGGAGATATTCAATTATGTGCGTAGCGGGGTGGGATGGATGAGCCTTTTGCAGCGACTGAGAAAATTCTAAATTCATTTAATGTCAAAAAAGATTTTTAAAAATAGTTCTGATTTTGGCCAGTTTTCATGACGTGACAAGTTGTTAAGTCATAGCGAATCTTGCAAAAAGATTGCAAACCAAGCACTAATTCCTTTTGCTCCTGTTCTGTTCTACAGGGAATGCTTATAGATCCACCATTCAGATCAAATTTTCTAATTAGCCTGAAAATGCCTCATAGGAAGGCAGACGTAAAAAGCGCTCATCCTATACCCTACGCTCCTTCAAAGACCAACATAGGTATAATGATAGCAGACAGTGGAAATGATTTATTTGCAATCCCCCACTTTGCTTGTTTTGCCTAAGTCAAATCTCCACAATCTAATATAAACGAAGCAAGACAGGAAGCTTAGGATAAGTATGAGGCAGCACAGTAGTATTGCTTCTGAGCAAAATGCATTAACATATTGACTTTGCAGAAGTGCATGCAAGCTACCTCAGCTCACAGTTGATTGGCTGGTGCAAATGAGCTCAAGTAAAACATGCAAGCAATCAAAAAAACAAACATGTTGGATGATGTTTTATTCAACGTCTCCCGCACTCTTTGTCAACAGTTCAGCGCAGCAATCATATTGCACTCTCCAACAACATCCACAGAGCTGTGTTTAACAACATTAAACTGTAAAGGGAGGCTGCCATTAGAGGCTTTAGTTGTTTCACTTGTTGTGTTTTGCTTCATAATGGGTCTGTAGGGCTACTATGTGCGCTGCAGGTCAAGTTAATGGTGTTTTGATCTTTTAGAAGCCATTAGTCAGAGAATCCTTGTCATTGCCCCTGCCCTTCCTGAATATGACACTTCAGTTCACTGGTAATGAGATGTCTGTATCTACACCAAGTCCTGATTACTAAAGCAGAAGCAACACAAGGGATACAATGTCAACTAGTCCCAGCTTTCATGTATAATATCTATGTGTCGGGTAAATTAATTTTTAAAACACACACAAAGAACTGGACCTCCTGATTTTATCTCCTGAAAATAAGAAAAAGAAGAAAGGAATAAGTAAGTAATTTCATTCATGTCTTCTACAGACGACGGTTGGAGATTCAGGCCAGGAGTGTATTCCCTTGCGGACAGCTTCAACATCAGGTAGGCCCAGTTGTTGCCTTTGTTAACTAGCTGCCTGTGCGGTCATAGCAATGGTGTGCTTGAGTGTGCTCCATTCAGTGACTCCATCATGCTACTGGGAGACTTCAATGCTCATGTGATCAATGGCATTGAACCTGACTGGTGTATTGTTATTGGACTTCTCTACAAACCACAGTTCGTCCAAACACTGTGTTCAAACATAAGCATCTCCATAAGTGCACGTGGGACCAAGACACCCAATATTGCGGGTCAATGATTGATTTTCCAATAGTTCTGGACAACTGAGTAAGAGAGAGAGAAGCTGAGCTGTTAACTGATCACCACCTGGTGGTGAGTTGGATCAGGTGATGGGGAAGGATGCTGGAAAGACCTGGCACACCCAAACCTATAATGAAGGTGTGCTGGGAACGTCTGGCAGAGGTTCTGGTCTGTTTGTCCTTTAAGTATCTTGGGTCTTGTTCATGAGTTAGGGGAGCAAGATATTAACAGACTGATTGAGGTTGCGGTTGCAGTGATGCAGACACTGTACTGGTCAGTTGTGGTGAAGAGTGAGCTGAGCACAAAAGCAAACTGTCGATTTAGCAGTCAATCTACGTCCCTACCCTTACCTATGGTCACGAGCTCTGGGTAGTGATTGCAGATAACGGCTTGGAGATACAAGCGGCAGAAATGATCTTTCTCCAAAGGGTGGCTGGCCTCTCCCTTAGAGATATGGTGAGGAGTTCAGTGATTCAAGAGGGCCTTGGAGTAGAGCTGCTCTCTATGTCGAAAGCAGCCACTTTACTTGGTTCGAGCATTTAATTAAGATGCCTAATTGCCTAACATCCCATGTAAATATAACGGAAATATGACATATTTACTTACACTGTAATAACAGTGCTTAAATGTTTTAAAAAGATGCCCACCTACTGTTTATTTTAGGAAACTCCTTGCTTACTACAAGAAGGTCTACAGATTTGTACACAGGTGTGTGTTGCATTTTCAGTGGGCAGTTTCATGATTCAAGATACCTGAAATTCATCTGACTTACACACCGTGTCCTGTCTTTGTTTACAGCACAACTTTAATGGGGGCACTGTAGACTCTCCTCAGTCAATACAAACACTATTCCAGGCCCCAGCTGCTTCACAACTCAGCAGCATGAAGCCGAACAATGCACGTACACAGCTGTGTGTCTGTTACCTCTTAAGACATTGCACTGATGTATGATGGAGACTTAGTCTAACTTTAGCCCTAACTACTGATAACTTAACGTAACCTTAGCCTAATATTACCCCAGTGGGCATGGCTTCACATTAAAGTTTAATTATCTACACTACTTGCTTTCTTGTTCCTATTATCTGACAGTGCAAACAGATTTAGGTCCCCATAATATGAGCAATACTCGAAACACACGCACACATTCAGTGGTACTGTTAGAATGCCTTAGGCTTTTCTTTTCTGGATGTCTTACCCATGTAGAGAAATATCGGTGCGTGGCATGCAGTGCATTTGATATATTTGGGTGTTCCGCTAGATTAAGTACTACTGGTTCCACCAACATACTCGATTGTAAGAATAAAAATATACATCGTCTTTCTGAAAAAACAAACAAGCATAAAAAGGCACATAAAAGGCAAATTCTGTACAAGTTGCTCTAGTTTTGTTTTGGAGGACATACGGTACTGTGCAAAAGTCTTGAGCCACCTTTTTTTCTTTATAATTCTTCTTTTTTATTCCTTTATAATTTGCATCTAAAGACACAGACTTGTAATTTTTAAAGCAGTCTTGAGCATTAGTTTTGAAGGTCTTTCAAAGTATTTCTTTCAGCATTGGCTGCTTTGTCCATAATTTTCAGTCCAGTCTTTGTACCTGACCATTTTCAGAAGAATGTTTCTTTTTATCTGTTGAACCACTGATGCTGATCTTTCATTAAAGCATAAAAATTTCACCCATCTCAGGGATGTTATCAGTGTTGTGTCTACACATAACAGACAACTTGGCAAAGTACCCATTTAAACAGTATCTTTAGACACTTTATTCTTAGTAGCCTTTGGGAAAAACATATAATTTGCTCTCATTTCGTTCATTGGATCTATGAAAAATGCCAAACATAACACAGTTTGACAGGCATAAAATAGGATTTTTGCACCAACAAGATGATTCCTAAAGAGCTGTTAGCCAAAACCTTGGCATATCTTGGAATGGCATGCCATTAAAAATTTTAGAGAAACCAAAGAAGTAGGTGACAAAAGCAAAAGTGTCAGGCCTAACAAAGTAAAGACCTCACACAGGACTTGGGAGATGCATCTGGCCCTTCAGTTGATCCAGCTATTGTTCGCCGAAGCCTCATCGGAAATGGTTTGAGTGGACGGGTGGCTGAGGTGTGCCAAATTACACAACAACAAAGTGGCTACAGGTCTTATTGAATTTTAAGTGTTTGGTTCAAAATAATGTCAATATGTATGAAGGAGTATGAGTATCTACAGTCGTCTGCATAACATGCTGCCAGTAGAGTAAAAGCACGCTTAGATAGAATTTATATAGAACCTTTTCTTCACAAAGCATCAAGAACTATTCCGAAAAGAAATTACTTATTAAAGAAATTGAAACAAGAAATTGTTTTTGCAGTTTCATGGCTTTTTGGTAACCAAAAAAAAAACAAAAAAAACAAACCCAAACAGACATGAAACCAGTCTTCTCTTTGAATTAAAATGTTCAGTTTCTAAAACCCATGTATAAGAAGGTAGGGGAGTCATTATAACATATTTTATATAATCTGAACCAATAATGCACTAAGGTCAGCTCTCGTAATTGTCAGTTAGGCTTTTACTTGCATATCAATAGTAACCAAGTTCCTGCACAGTACAGAAAAGAAATGCTTTTAGCCAAAGTGACATGACTTCTGTTCCTATATGAATCCGTTTTGTGCTGTTTTCACTTGCAGATCTTCAGCTGCCTTTTCCTTGGTGTCTCCACTTGAGTCCACAGTCAGTTCCTCATACCTGAACTGAATTAGATATTTAAATGAATGGCTGTACTGGTATTTTGTATATCTCTGCATACTAAGAACAATAGTAGACAACAATGGATTATATTAGAATTTTGAACACTAGGAACAAGTCTGGCTATTTTCCCCCCCAAATTTAAATAATATGCAAAATAGTGCTGACTCTAAGGAACTCTAATTGTGTGAACCAAAGGCCATCTTCCAGGTGTACTGTGTAGGCACTCTTAACTTCCAGTCTTCCATCAAAGCGTCGCACTAAACCCACCTGTGCAGACTTGATTCAGACCTTTCTAATGAAATGCTCCATCTCTGTCATCAGACTGCTCCTTTCACAATCTATTACACCTTATACATTCATTGCTCTGGTATACATTATATGCCACTGACTTCTGCTATCCTGCTGCATTGTTTTAATTATGAGGAGGAAGGGGGTTACTGCTGAAACTTCACCAGAAAGTCATTTCATTATTTTCCATTTTATGGATTTTTTTCCCCATGGAGTTCAGCATGTTTTCCTGGGTAATTTCACCACCTTGTTTGGTGGCCTTCTCTCTGTAGCAGCAATGATAACTAAAGATCAGTGGCTAATGTTTAATGCATATATATTGGTGAGTTTAGTTTTCTTTGATGTTAATGTGTTTGCGGGGTTTAGCATCCACCAGTCCAATGCACAACACATTTCCTCTAAAGTTGCACCCTTCATAAATGACCACAGGGTTGAATTCTGGAATAATCTCCACCGACAGATTGGTGGTGCTGCATGTAATGGAATAGCTTAGATGTTTATTGGAATTTAGACCAGTGTATTTGCCTACAAGGTACAAAATAAATTGCAACTTTAGAGCTACTTGGGCCATCCAATGTGACAACATGGAGAACCAAAAATATTAGCTTGCAAACCTCAACATACAAGTTAATGAGTAATACATTTTAGTAACCGTAAATCTCCTTATTAGTACCAACTTTTCTCCAAAGCATATACAAAACTACATGTATGTATAACTTTTGGGTTACTTTAGTATCTCTTTTTAATTCCAATCCATGCTGGTAGTCTGCACTTGACACCTTTATAGATTTCTTTTCAGATCAAAAAGTTTTATATGAAAAAACACAAGTAGGACAACTGGGCATATATCTATAAATTTTGGATTCTGGTCTTACTGGCTTGTAACACCTTAGAAGGGTCCCTTGTCATATTTTGGATGTCCAGGTTTTCAGGGCACTTCAACCAAAAATATATTTCCTCTTAATCTTCTCAGATTCCACATTTTGATGTTTAAGGTGTAAATGGGTATGTTTTACTTCTGTCTTACTCTTAATTTTCTTGCAGTACACTTCAGAGTAATCTTGTGACAGCTTTTAATCCACAGGTTAAGAGTCTGAAGAAATCACATCTGTTTCATCAGATTTCTCTGAGGCTGATAGCGTTGACATTGTCAGACCAATACGATAATGATTTTTACAGGACTGTTTGAGTCCAAATTTTTGAGGACTTTGAGCACACCATCAGATTTGTTTCGAAAATAGATTCTGCCAACACAAATACAGTTGTCTGTGGAAACAGACTTAGATTATTTTAGACAAACTTACATTTTTATTAGATATTTTTAAACAAGAACGTTTGATCTTATGGTATCACAGCACCCATAATGGAACAGCGACAAGGTGATAGGCTCAGCACAATGTCTAAACATCCAGATGTCTGGATACAATTCAATGGAATGACCAAAAAATTTGCAAAGCTGAGTACAAATCACAAACAAACTGCAACATTACTAACGACTACCAGATTAGTCATCTAGTATAATTTGTTTGTTTTACAGTGAAGATACTTGTTAGACAAAGATTTATCTAAAAACCTGCTGTACTTAATTATTAATTGCAGTACTGGTTAACAAACTCATTAAACCAGAGTGTCTGTGACAGAGAGCTGCCCGTTCCCCCGAGCCTCGAGTGGGATGCACAGGATCATTAGAGGCTAATGTAAGTCTGGTTGAGGTCAGTTGCTGCA